TTATATCACTATTCGTATTCATCACTTTAGTACTCAATTTCCCTCCCAGACATCTACTCGCGAATTATCACTATTTATGATCAAGTGATCAAGTTGGTGTTCGAAATCTAAGTTATACAAAGCGCCGCAGAATACATGGGTTTCACCAACTCCAAAATACATGGGAGTGAATTTTTGATCAATCAAACAATTCCGTAGTAAATAGCATAGCAAATCGGCTATTTACAATGACAACACTATAAAATCCTTTTTGATTATGTGATAGTTGTGATATAATAATGTTTTAGGTCATATCAGAATATGAGATCCATCTACTTACTGCTGTACCAATTTCATTTGGAATTTGATTCATATGGTATATTCTGGAAGGGTGAAAAAACACTGATACTGAGTAAAGTTTTGAACTGAGCCTTGACTAATGCCAAGCATGTACTAGACATAAGTTCATTTATTGTCATCATGTGTCTTTGGACATTTGACTTGCAAATTTTGAGTGATAATGTGCCCAGTAATGTAAGGATCTGATGTGCTTTCAGCCCTTTAATATACTGATTAATGTTGTGCACTGATTCACAGTTGATTAAAACTAGTTGTGTGTGTGTTAACTACGTGATTTTTAACTTTGTGCAACGAGTATTTGTTTATTCTCTGCCACAATCCTTCTAAATGTTTCTATGCATGTGACTGTTTATATTTACAACTTAAACGCTATTCAGCCGACTTTTGACTTGTTATAATTAACTACATTTACATTTTAGAGTAAGAAAGAATGTAGAGTAGATATAGAATTGTTACGGCAAGCCGATCTGATAGTACGTGTAAGTCACATGGTAAAATCTTCCTCCGCAGTCATGCAGTCCATGATCGACAATTACAGTCGCACCTGTCTATTTGCATAACGTATATTTACATAATCTGTTCATTTGCATAAAAAAGCCCCGGTCCCTTAGTGGGACCTATTAGCTATTTGCATAACGTGAGCATCATTAATATAATGCACACTTCAGTTGAAAAATGTGTTAAAACGGATGTGTTTCATGTACGAAAGAGAACATATCTTTCTTTTTTCGTTCGTGACGCGTTGACTTTACGCAAAAACGAAAATCATCACATATTGATGTCGTAATCAGATCAAGTGTACATTTCCTTTTATTGCCAATTCGTATTAAGAAGCAAAGCATATTAACTCTCGGTGAGAGAATTTACTAGTTTTGCTATTCCATGAGAGATCACAACAGAAAAACGCCTGCATCTTGAAAGTTTTCATTCCGTCAAATTCGAACGAACGGATGAATGGAATAGTTGAGAGACAATTCTGTAGTAACTGAAGAATTTTTATTGAGCCTTACACATTAAACATATAAGAATCAAACAAAACAAATCAATAAACTTTCCGGAGAAACGCCATAATTTAATTGCATACGCAACCTTACACATAATCGTCATATGTACTCAGCAGAAATGCTGAATACTCACTACGAACCGTTCAATCTTATGTGAATAGCCCAGTAATCTATAAAAAGATGGTCCATCTTATTCCCTGCTCTTTAATATCTAGTCACGTCACCACGGTTCATTGTACCACAATAATTATATTAAGCAATCTAGACTATATACATTAAAATTAATCTTACAAGTGGGGGGATAGGGTGTTAATCTTTGGAATCAAAGAAACGGTTTCTTAATTGATAAAAATTTTCACGGCAAAAGAAAAAACGCCTGCTCTTTTGTAAAACTGTTCCAGTTCTGCTTCTCTTCTTGCTTTTGTTCTGAGATAAGAGGTCATCGCCCAACTATCCGAACCAGTATCGACTATTTGTTTATATAGTAACATTGCTTTCTTAAGATCCTTTCGGACGTATATACCATTTTCATAGATTTCTGCGAGTTGCGATAGGGCTACAAGATTGTCATGCTTCGCTGCTTTTTCATAAAACTTGATTGCTGACACCATGTCCTTTGTTACCACGACGCCCTCTTCATAGATTCGTCCAACTTTGCATTGTGCTACGGGATAGCCAGACTTGGCCGCCTGGATGTAATACGTTAATGCCGTTCTTGAATTTGCAGCCACTTCCCCAAATCCATTTTCGTAGCAGAGGCCGAGCCAGTATGTGGCTTTGCGATTACCCTTGTTAAATGATTCCAGAAATCGATTATATGCGCTAGCCCACTCACAATCTGTCCCTATATTTTGCGCGTAAAATAGTCCAATTAACAAAAGGCTGTCCTTGTAATCGTGATTTGAAACAAGCACATGAAGCACTTCTTCCTCTTTATAATTCATTTGCTTGATCCATTTTTTAATGTTGTTGGCTGGAACAATAGCGAATGTACTTTTTTTGAGACTACTCTCAAATATCCGCAATAACTCGTCTATTAATCGATGATCTGACATTTTAATTCGTTCCGCGGGTGGGTTTGTCGTCTCCACTTTGTCAGGGTCATATAGCGTGTCTGGTTGTTGTTTGCTGACTATCGTAATTTGGTCGCTCGATAAGTGTTGGTCATCGTTAACTATTGGTGGATCTAGCGCAAGCAACTGCCTTAATCTTCCATGGACCTCTCTACAGGTAGGTCGCTTGTCGGGAGATGTATTCCAACAGTCTGAATAAAGGTTGATAAAGCCATCTGGTGTTCCCGGTACAGGAGAATCACGAGATTCATTAAATCTGTATATTATTATCTCCTCGGTTGTCAATAATCCGTCGCAAGGACGTTTTCCGGCACTTGAAATCTCCCAGAGTATTACACCCAAACTAAAAATATCAGACTTTTGCGTACGCTTGTAGCCTTTTTGGGTGAATGATAATGGATCCATGTAAGCTGCCTTGCCTTCGCGTTTAGATGTTACCGTCAGATGTGTACTAGCGTCAGACAACCCAAAGTCGGTTATCTTTGCAAGTCCATCATGAATTAGAATGTTGTTGGAGGACTATGTGGAGGTAACATGTTCGTAAGTATTGCCGACTGTTTGATTATGCGGTCAATATGCAAAGTGAGAATGTACAATATATTCATTGCAACATCGTTATACATACCATGTCCTTATGAATGATGTCTCGATCATGTAAATACTTCAATCCACTGGCAATATCAAGGGCAAGTTTGTACTTCTCCTCCCATGTTATCCTATCGTAGCGTTCTTGCAAATGATCGCATAGTGTTCCTCCATTTGCGTATTCAAAGATCATGAGGAAATGGTCGTCGGAATCTATCAATGTATGTAAACGAATTAGATATTGTCTGCCAAGGAACCAAACATTATGGGGTTGTACCTTTGCTTAATCCTAAGAATCGAATAACGTTTGGGTGGTCATCTAATTTCATATGGGTTTGAAGCTAAATTGTCGTTGATAAAACTTAGCATTGAGAGTAAACACCACCCGCATAAGCTTCAGGCACACACGACGCCTCGGTTATACATGAATGATTTGTATGCTTACGCTACTTGTAATGTAAGACAATTCATAAAAGTCAGACTTACAACTTACCTCTTTAACAAATACTTTATAATAGTCTTCGCTCTTCGCTCTAGGAAACAAACATTTGATTGCGACTGCAATATCCAAGGTTTTATGACGCGCTTTATAAACTATTCCGAATCCACCGTTACCAAGAACTTTAAGATGCTCGAGCTCTTCCTCTAAGTAATATCGAATATACTTGTCTTGTATGCTTCTTTCTAACCAGGCTTTTGGCGCAGTTACCGTTTGGTCCGAAGACATATTCAAGCCTAAACGTCTTCATCAATGCATCCACTATTTTTATACTGTTATTAGGATTACTTCTTTTATAAGCATTATTACCATTTGTGGACTTTTGGTATTGTGTAATTTTGATAATCATTGTTAATTTCACAGCTGTGTTTTGTCTCTGACCCATTATCAGGAATTTACCTGCCAGGTCGCACAACCCGACACATGTCGTACAGTTCATAATATTTCTATTTATGGAGAAGCCATCTGAGTGTCCAAGGGATAATATTTGACCGATTATCTCTGACCCCTGCATTATGAAAACACGTTGATATTGCCTCTTCAAGTCCCTCTAATTCATCGAGGACGACATAGCAAGTGTCTAATGAGACGAAAATCGACGTAAGTGACAACCCCTCCAATTCTTGACTGTTGGCTATTGTTTGAGTCCCAATCTGTCGAATCTAATCAGTAAAGACGCAATGAGATGTGGCGGTTTGATGAATTTAGAAAGGTAACTCTTTTTGTCGATGGAAAGAGATGATGTCATTGCCTCGTTTTAAAAGAAATTCATTGTTTCACTATGCATCACAAAAGGACATTTCGTAAACTCGTATTGATATCGACGTTACAGTATTTATTTTTTTACGCAAATTCTTTTATTGATATTGAAACGAGGAATTTACTAATCGTGTTGGTTAGCTTAATATCTTACAAGATTTATTACTTACATACTAACCATCGTAAGTATTCCGCTGACCTTAATTCCACACACATGTAAGTAACCTTTTTTTTTTATTTAAAGCACGTAAAGCAATTGAACTATTTAATACATTGTGTAGTCACTGCAAGTGCGTTACGCGACATTTATACTTTTATCAACTTTGCTACTAACTTGTAGGTAAATGGTCTCGTTCTTTTGTTTAACATTTTGACTAGTGTAGTATTGAAGTCCGGGTTATAATAATAGAGTACAGTTAATAGCTAAGTAATGTGCAGTAATTGGTTTTATTTTTAATATACTGGTTAAAATGGGGAAGCTATTGAAAGTTGTTGAGCAACATGTCTAATGCACTGATGTTGAGGTTTCCCAAGTTGGACACCTGCTAATTGCAACCTGGAGAGAATATGGTGATGATATAATGATACAGTTATTTTTTGTAATGTAAGACCCTGAGTTTTATGTATTGTTAGAGCGAATGAATTCTGTAGAGGAAACTGAGTTCGAGAAGCTTTTTGCCCTGCAGCATAAAGTAGGAGGTGTGTTATTGTATCCCATAGTGAACTATCGCATTTTGTACACAAAATGCCACTTGGACAGAGTGCGAACCTTTATCAAAATCGGTGATAGCGCCAATAGTTTCATTGCAAATACCTTTTTCTATAAGAAAATTATTTAAGAACATTATGCGAGATTCTTGCTGAATGTGCCTAAAATAATTGCACTACTACTATGGTGCAATTAGGAAAAATGCTGCTACTATTATATTTACAGCAAATATGTAAACTCCATCAAAACTGAGTCTGTGATGACACTACAGCCTCAGCAGCACAACTAACTTTTAGACTATTCAATCATTTAAAATCTGCAATACACTCTACTTTCACAATGGTATCCACACACAGATAATGAATGATAGTGATTAACTCTCAAAGTTTTCAGTGAACTACCAAGATGATCTAATATGACTCATGGATACAATAATTGCTATCAATTAATAACAATTTGATGGGTGTCTGTGATTCTGACAAAATGTTCTGTAATAAACTAATGCTAACTCCACATACCTTCAGTAAAGTCACAGGTGGTATCAAAAGTTTGCAGTCACTGACATTTCATATTCACAGGACTTGCAATTTCATATAATTATACACAAAATAATTATTTGACATGAACTTTCTTCTTGATAATAATATGGTAACAGCAATTGTAATGATAAATGAACTTATTCACCTTGTTAAGCTTTATCATACTACAGTTATAGATTGTGAACAAAATGTTTAATCAAAGAGCTATCTATATTTGTTTAAAGTTGTATGCTTTTTTATAATTCTTTTAAAACTTACATAATAAAATTAAAATAAATACATAAAAGTGGTAGAAAATATGTCCATAAATGTTTTGTAACCAGCTGGTGAGCAACACCTATACACAGACAGAGATAGCTATGAGACAGCTACAATTTTACTATAGAAGTCTGATATCGTAAATTTGCTTCCTTTACCAAAAAGGAAATGATTTCCTATGCATGCCTGTACTACAAAACTTTTTCTATAGCTATCTCTGTCTATGTATAAGTGTTGCTCACCAGCTGGTTACAAGACATTTATGGACATATTTTCTAGCACTTTTATGTATTTATTTTAATTTTATTATGTAAGTTTTAAAAGAATTTGTTCACAAAGATAAAAAAGCATACAACTTGAACAAACATAGCTCTTTGATTAAACGTTTTGTTCACAATCTATAACTGTAGCATAATAGAACTTAACAAGATGCATAAGTTTATTTATTATTACAATTGCTGCTGTTATCATATTATTATCAAGAAGAAAGTCCATGTCAAGATCAAAACAAATAATTGTTTGTGTAGCATTAGATGAAATTGCAAGTCAATCAAAATTTTGTGAAATTTCTCCTACTGTTACGGATGAATCAGATAAGTCACATGGTAAAATCTTCCTCTGTAGTCATGTAGATCCCATGATCGACAATTAATTTTGGTATAGTGGTACGCGATACCATCCGTTGCATATTTTGAGCATCAGACTAGTTAACTTAAATCTATTGGTCCTTGAAAATTGTCGATTACTGATTCCTTTTGTTGCAATTTTTGGTAGTCGCGAGTTATATAAGCGGCTCTTAACCCATCGTCAAATTCTCATGTTGTATATGTTATTTAGTTTGTTCATATTATTTTTCCACTTCACGAAATTAAATATATCAAATAAACGATTCCCTTTGAAATCAAAATTTCATCGTTGCAATATTAATTATTTATTAAAAACGAATATTGTTTAATTAGTTTGAGACAAGTGACAGAATTTGACTAGTCAAAATACCA